GTAGGGAACAGAAAAGGACACCACTTTCGAAAAAGCTAATACCTCTGCTGATCAAAGCAAATGAATTACAAACCACTGCAGGCTGATAAGATATAACAGCAGTAGAGGTTTATAAACGAAGACTTACTTAAGCAGGGAGTCAAGTTTATGGTGAGGTAATGAGATGGACAAAGAGCAACAGGTATTTAGATATTTATTTATTTATTTGCCAACAAGAAAGTCAGCATTTCAGTTATCAGAGATGAAAACTTGCTAGATACTAAGCCAAGATTCAATGAAATCAGTAATAAATTAAACATTTCAGATTTAGTGTTGCTCACTCAGACATGAATATCAAATTAATACAGTAAGGCTGAGATAAACTCAAGAGCCAAATCGTGCAAATATTTAAAAGTATATTAGTATTAATCTTGTCTATTACAGTAACATCTGACAGCCAGTCAAGAGCAAAAGCAACGTGCTAGGCAAAATACAAAGTAGCATAGAGACCGTGCCTTTATGATTATCTGTCTTCCTAACTTTCGCTACTACTTTCCCTGTGTACAGAGGCTGTCTTTTTCTTTCCTATGATTATAAACACATTTTATCTTCAGTAGCTATTCACGTGATGCAACATCACTACTTCACTGTTTGCACACGTCCAGCTTAATGTGGGAATTTCTGGATTATGAACCTTGGCTAGTACTACTCAGGAGGTAAAGTCATCATCTTGGTCCTTACTGCCTTTAAAACCTAGTTAGCCACAGTCTTTGGGGGTAAGGGCTGTACCAGATGTCCTCCTTTCTTAGATTTTTTTAGTCTGTCAAAAAAAATGAGACAGATTAGTGCTTAGTCTTCAATGCCTACTGGAATGCTTTGACAGTCATTATATGGTTTCAGAAAGCTTTGGCCTGTTCTTCTTCAGTCATGACTAGGCTTGGCTTTGGCAGTACAGTGATCCGTTTGTGAGATTTTACCACATCTGATCATAACTGTGGCTGATCATGCTAAGCCAGTTGGTTTTTCAAACTTATCTGTGCTATAAAAAACATGTTAATGACACCGAGATTGAAGGAGTATGGGGAGATTTTCCCCCATTTTTGTGTTTTTTGCTGATGGTGAAAGTATGCAGAGATATAGCAAATTTCAGACGTCTTCAGAAGAACAGCAATTCAAGTTCTCCTCAACAATGTAAAAAACTGTGATTTTTCTCCTCCTCCAGCCACACCGAGATTGTGTCCACAGCTAGGCTGATGGAATATGTCTGTTTTTATGTTTTGTTTTTACATGAGATGGCATGCCCTATGTCTCTCTTTGTGGGTTCTTGTAACTGTTGTTTTCTTCAGTGACGCTGAGCCTTCTGTCCTGTGCTGTCATTTAATGCCTATTATTAGATTTGTTTTGTTGTGCATATCAGAAATGAAAAGGCTAGTGGTTACAATGAAAGCTTGTAATCAGCATGAAGTTTGCCAGACAATGCAAAAACTCACTTTGTGTGTGCGTGTGTGAGAGAAAAAGAAATTACTTGGCAAAATGTTGCAGGCAAGTCCTCAAGGAAAGGAGTGGGGTTGAGGGGGAACAGTAAAACAACAGTTCTGCATAGTCTTTAGCTCGTTTAAGATTTTTCCAAGCCATGGTCTTCTTTTGATACTATGAAAACCCAGACTTTTCTCCGAAAACAGAGAGATATTATAATGTCATCTGAACTAAGAAAACTAGGCAATGGAACCTATATGTAAACAGTCATTAATGAACTCCAACTTTCAAGGAAAGCTGCCAGGTAATTAATTAGCTCCAGTACTGCGCTGTCATCCTTCAGAGAGATTAAAATGTATAATGCTAGTGTGATTGAGTCCAAAAAGCACCAAGCACTTGTAAAGTCAGTTTTCATGATGCTAAGAGATTAATAATTCACAATGTTGATTTCTAATCGTGTAAACTTGTAATATTATGAGTAGCCGTTATATAAATCCAGTTTACTATGATTTTCCTGTAACAGGGGTCACTAATATGAATAGCTGTTTGTGATAATGAAAATTTCGAAAAAGTCAGTCCAGAAGGACAGGAATACTTTGGGAAAAACAATGGCTACTCCGCTTTGCAGGCTCAGGACCACATGCACGGTGCTAATGCTCGCATGTTTCTTCCTGTGTTTTCCTCTTTTGTGAATGGGGCGGGGGAGGGCGATGACACACAGTACAATTCAGCAGGGAAACCTAATAATTATCTTACATGATAACCTCTCCCAGCAGCAGATGATGTACTCACTTTGGCAGCACTAATGACTGTGGCAGTGTAAGACTGAATGTTGTCTCCGCAGGCTCCACCACGGGATTGATGGCATCGGATCAGCTACAAGAAGACAGACAGCAACCAAGTAACTACTATTAAACTACACAAACCCATAAGCCATTACCATAGCTCTTATTTATCATGTACAGTGGTGTGTTTTTTCCTACAAATAGCAAAAAGCCCTGCTGAGACACTTAACCCCTTTTTATAATCTTCTGGGTGCCACCCAGACTGTCGCATACTCAACTCCAGTTTTCAATTACAAGATGAGTAGTCACTAAGAATTCATAAACTTTGAAATGGTGGGATTTTTGGTCTGGCAGCAATACCACAAATAAATTTAAATAAATATAATCAAAAGCTTTAGCCATGTATATGTAACATTAAATATCAGACATTCTAAGAATCTGAGTGTGGCTTTCCCCTCCCTTTTATGACTAGCAAGCAAAGAAATGACAAAGGAAAAGAGCTACTTTAAACTTTACATTTAATAGATTAAAGGAATGTACATGGGGTTTACTCCATATTGCCTTCCTTCAAAATTAATAAATCAAAACAAGACTCTTCTACCTTCCATCAATCTACAAAAGCAGTTTTTGCCTTTGAACGCTTACTAACAATATAATCCGTGCTTCTGACTAAATAAAATGACAAAAAACTATAGATATTTGTTGCTTGTACACAGAACACATTGCCTGTTTAACTGTTTTAGGTAAAAGAAAATTAAAAATTACTGTAAGATATATGTTTCTACAGGCTTTCCTTTCCTGCTTATATTTAAGTATCTAAATAAAAATAGTTCAACGAGGGAAAAAGGGGAGGTCCATGGTGTATATACCTGGGAACACACAAGCCACTTATATTCCTTTTGTGATACAATTCTTTTGCTGATCAGTGGCTTGTATTTTTGGCAGCAGTTACTTTTTAAATCCCAGGCTGACTGGTTAAGTTTTACGAAACCACACGGGCGTGGCATTAAAGGAAAGGCAGGCCTGAATTTGGAGAGAAATCAGTTGTGCCTAAAAGGTGTAACAACAAACACATTTCTAAAGCCTGCTTCTCTGCTAATTTCTGGTTCAGCTCTAGAAACAGCTATTCCAGTCACAGGTGGAAGGGAGAAAAAACATCTGCTTTGAAATAAAAGTAAGGTATTAGAAGCTGAATTAGAAGTTTTCACAACACTTCAAGCTTAAAATACACACACACTTCTCTGGCCTAGGGCTGGGTAAAAAGAGGGATTTGTTTGTTTGTTTGTTTGGGATCTATTTTCTTCTTTTGCCTCTAGAAACAAAAAAAATTATTTCAACGTTTTCATTTTTTCCTGGAGCCTCATGTTTTCAGCAAAGATGTTAAAAAGTGGGCACAAAGTGCATTGCTGTTGTTTCAGCCAAACCCAATGTCTCTGTCCAGACTCAGTTTCCCCAAATAGAATTTATGAATCCTCACTTGCCTACCTTTCAGAAGTGTCTATAATTAAGTGCTTTGAACTTTTAAAATGCAAAATAGGTTGATTATTGAGTGACCTCACTGAAAACACACGTTGATAGCTGTCTTCTCTGCCTACGCTACTTACGTATTTATGCCTTCCAAGTTCATGAGCCTAAATCGAATGTGCAGAGTAAAGATACGACATATGTCAATACCCAGGCACAACCAGTGTGGGGCAAAGATTAGGTCTGTCATCGTTATGCAAGTCCTCCTACAGATCACCTTTTTCACATACCTTTTCTCTGAGACTTTTTCTTTTCTTTTATTCCCCCTCTGTATACAAAAGCTAGAATGAAATCTAGAAACACAGAGAAGTAGTTTTTTAAATTAAACCTTTCCTTACCTTATTTTCTGCATAAGCAAGCCAGCGGCTTCCAAGAGCAATAGGATTCATGTTTGGCCCTGGACAAGGATAGCAGCCTGAAAAGTTTTAAAAGGCAACATTAAGAAATATCTTAATGACTTCTTACAAAGAATTTTATTTATTGCCAAGAAAACAAAAAGTCTAAACAAAAACCTTTCAATGGCTAATATCACTCAGTAAATGCTTGCATTTTTGTTCCTAAAGATAAGACTGTGGTTAGATGAGCTATTTTGAACAGTTAATTATGTGTAAATACTCATTTCTCCTTATGTTTGCATTTTTTAATGCCATTTTGATACAATGGGGTGAGGGGGATATTTAAAAGTTTGATTGGATTGGTTCTGTATCTTCACGTTTTAATTAACTTGCATGATTGATGCCTTTCTATTGGTCAACAGTCTCAGTTGGCTTCAATCTCTTCTAGATTTTTGTGGTATGAAAGGGTGTATTGTGCTTTTGTTTTTAATAATTCTATATACAAGGCCTTAGCCTCTCAAAATACTTTCGCACACACTTCACTTTACACAGTGAGTGAATTTGTAATTCCTTCAAAATCAGTGGCAAATTTTCCACTGTTCACCTGCTTTTCATTACCTTTATATTATCATTAAAAATAGATACAGACATACGCATAAAGACGAACATAAAATAGAGAACGATTCCCAAGGATTAAGAGGTGAAAATACCTATACTAGAAAGTCACTGAAAATAGCTGTTTAGGAAAATATGGCAAGGCTTAAAATGAATCAGGCCCATGTTAAATGCCATTTAACATACAGAGTCTGAGTTGAAAATCAAAAAAAACCAAAACAAAAATCCCCCCCCCAAAACAACAACCAAGAATATCACTCTATTAACTATTAAAATATAAACCACAGAATTTTAAATTATTAAAAACAATTAGATAATGCTGAAACATAAATGAAAAGCTTAAGTAATCTACAATTAAAAGTAGCATGGTGACCCTCATCCTAATTGCTACCACTGTCCTATTTCCATGTCCTGTTTCCCCTCCTTTGTTTTTCGTCGTTTTAGATTAAGCTCTTTTGGGTGGACGGCTGCTCTTTCTACATCAACACATAACCCTTGCCTGTATTTAGCACTCGAATCCTACTGACGTATCTGAACTTTAGTATTCCGGCCCTGACACTGTAAACGTCCGTGCTGCGTGGTTCCAGCAGGCTGATTTCGGTGGGATCCTTCGCCAAGGTAAGAGTCTGAAAGTTCAGATACTGAAGTCATACGGATGAAGCCACAAAACTGTTTACTGATTAGGCCCCGATAACACGATTTGAGCGTGAGTGTTCAAATTTAAGCTAGTAAACTAAGGCCTTTGGCCACGTGCATAACGCCCTTTATTAGACCTAAATCCATTCTCGTACACTAAAACATATATATAAAAAAAAGAAATATTGCATAAGGGGGGAGAGGATGGGAGGAAGGAGGGAACTATCAAGCGAATGGTTAATCTCCGTTTTCATCAATTCTTAGGCTAATATAGACAATTTAGTAATTCATATTCTCTCACTGGCTGGCCACGAAACAAAATATTTATAGACATGTGTGTCTCATTTAAAGGAGCCCTGGTTAGCTGATCCTGCATTACAGGCATGAGGAGCACTGAGATCAGGCAAACTGCATTTTAGAAGAACACGTATAACCAACAACTGCAATTCTGCACGTATAACCTATACTGCATTCTGAGAAGCAACATATTTAAAAAAAAAAAAAAGGAAAAAAAAGATACAGCTAGCTAAGCTTCTTTTTCCCCAAAGTCTCTTGTGTCAGACTCTTGGACACCGATCTGCCAACCACAGTGAGAAAAAGCAAACCTATTCGCTGCCTTCTTTTTGCAAATATCAAGGTATTTTCAAACAGGCCCCCATATTGCCCAGAACATTTTGTGAGGACCACAGACTTTTAAAAGTTTAATGGCATTATTTTCAAGGCTTGCAAAATGGTGAAAAAGGTGCGTGGGTGGGTGTTAACTATAGCATGTAGGTGTAAACTTAAACTGACATTTGACAACACTTAAAGACACATTTGATGGCATTTTGTTGGGCACGTGCAGAAACAGCTGCTATGCTGTTCATGCCGTCTAAGATAAACAGCTCCTTACTTCATTTTTTTAGAGAAGAGCAGTGAGAGTATTGCAAAATTCAAAAGATCATAGCAAGCTATTTCAAAGGTCATAAAGCAATGGAAGGAGAAAAGCAGCAATTCATCCAATTAAATCCATCTCAGGCCAGGAAAGCAAAACCAAGTGAATATTTTGTAAGGCCTTATCACTGCCTTGATCTCAGGAAGGAAAACGAATTCTGAAGAGATGATGCCACAATTGTTATTGCATTCCAGAAGTGCATAAAATGTGGGTAGCCAGAGCCTCTTAAGGAACAAAGCAAGCAAAAAAAGGTTGTAAATACAACCCTAGGTTGTAAATACAAATGTGTTCTTCCGATGATATTATAGATCAGGACCAGTAAGGTTTTAATGCTGACTTCTGCTTCGACAATTCTTACCTGGGTCAGTAAAGACATTCAGGTCCCCCAAACTTTATCTATTTTTCTTTCCTTTCATGTATAAAATACATCATTAAAAGCTGTCAGATGATAGCCCTCGTCCTATAAATCTCTACAGTGACTTTAGAATCAGTCACTTGCATTTCCCAACCTCTGCAAGCACCTCGTAACATCCTTGCAGCAGAAAACAAAAGCCAGCAGATGCACTGTAATGACAAAGCCCAAGCAATTCAACAACTCATAACAAACAGAAATGTCTTGCTTGGAAAAGGGAGCTGTTCTCAATTACTTCAGTGAGCTGAAGTAAATGAAGAACTGCAAAAAGTATTTTTCCTCAAACAAAAAATTCATCACATGAAAAGCGTAACGTTATCTTAGAAAAACTGCAACTGTCTTCACCAAACCCACTGTAGGTAGTTTGTTCCACGAACTGGACGCAGTCAATCAGACACAGCCCCACACGCAAATCAGCCAGCGCTAATAATAACCTCCACAGAGGTCAACAATTCAACTCGGTACTAAACTCTACTCTCCGATACGAAAAACAGCATAAAAAAAGAGCTATTTCCTCCCTTTCTTTTCTTTGCAAGTCTCTGCATTTTGGAAACTTGCAGCAGTGCAAGGATAAACAAAGGGTTATACTTTATGGGAAGGAAAAGCAAATTGTTTTTCTGCTTTCCAAAAAAACAGCTGGAGTCAGCAGAACATCATCTACTAGGCAAATGAAAAGACAGACACAGCGTGACCCATCAAGCTCAGCCATCCAATCGTTACCAGCCTAACTCTCTTAAAGATTAACTTCTATTTCTACTAAACTTCAAAACAACTGAGGAAAAATCCATTCTAAGCAACAACAGCAGCAATTTTAGCATGTTTACAATAGGAATGAACATAATGAGAATGCAGAACTAACTGTCAAGAAGACCAAAGTTTCCAAGTTTTAATGACAGTATGGAGAGGTCATCCAAGAAAAGATCACTCGGGGAAAGTCCTTCCAAAAGTACAGCAAATCAAGCAAGTACTAAAAAACATCTGATCTTAGAATAAGCTTTACTGGGACTATCATCCACAAAAATATAGGTGAAAACCTACTGGTAACTACGTTAGCTGTTTTCAAGTCTGCAGTTGCTCTCTCCCTCTGCGTTTTATGACACACAGAGGAAATGCACTACTTTAAAGCTGTGAAAAGGCAAAAGTAGAAAAATACTATTTTGAAAGCCTGATTGAAGTGCAAGTTTTTCTGCTAACGATTAAGTTCCTAGGTCCAAGAACTCCAACCGGTGCTGGCCTAAGCAGTGCCGACGAATGCGAATGGGGCTCCAGGCTCCCTCGGAACAGGGACTTGGCTAACAGCGGAGGATTTCATGGGCAGCGCCCTGGTACCTCATATTCTGTGCCTTGGTTTTCACAATTCCAAGATGCAAGTTTTACCTGCATCGACGTGGTAGCATAGGTAAATTCCTTAGCATTACAATTTCTTATTTCTTCCCATCCTTTTTTTTTTTTTTAATAAGTGAGTTATAAAATTATAGTATGAAATAAGCATGCAGTTCGCGACTATTTGGATTCAAAGATGGTTTTAGCTTTCTTGCTGCTGTGCTGACTTTATATATTTGGTTTTACTGAGAATACAGGAATCCTAGAAGTTACTTAAAGGTCTCCAAAGAGCTATACAAATGTTTGCTTAATGAGTGAGCAAAGAGAAGGCATGTTTATTTTACATTATTTTTCAATTACTTTTATGAAAATCTCTACCACCCTTTGGAGAGTCATATGCCTGTAATAAACAAAATCACCTCCTCTACTCGTTCTGAAAACTCACACAAACACGCACTTCTCTGACTCTGGATCTTTCCATTGATCTAGGCTCCTACAGAAAACTAAGGCTCCAGTCCTTTTCTTAACTTGCTTTTAAAGAGCTCATCCTCTAGCTTCAATAATGGCGGTGTGAATACACAGCCAGCAGCCAAGAAGAGAAAAGCAACACATTCCTCTCCTCCCACTTAGCTTTTAAACAAACAGCGCATTGGGAAAACACTGGTAAAAGGAACGGGGCCATTAAAAGTCACGTCAGCTATAACAGAGATTAAGCCAATAAATCACAAAACATGCCACTATGAAAACTTGAACCATTTGTATTGGGGCAGCTCTTCATCAAGGTCCACAGCTTTTACATGAGAAAAAAGCTTAAAAAGAGATATGTACACATATATGAGTCTATACGCAAACTCAAAAGCCCAGTATGGGATGGAGAGTTGGGGGCTAAACGCGGCAGGGATTCCCCACAGCCATAAAAACTCGGCAGTTTGGTACCTCACATCCAAGCACACTCTGGAATCCCAGAGGCAATTAGAAGTCTATAGACATCTAAGCTTTCAACAGCTCAGTTCTTCAGGAGGACCAGAGCCATGCATCTCTGTTACCCATGATACTGCTACAAGTCCAGTCAAGATCTTCGGATGTGTTCTATATACGTGCCCTTCTCACGCACAAAGTACGGATGATGTATGTGCTCTCAGGGACTCTGCATATATACC